TGATGCATCAGAAAAGAATTTAGCATGGTGCCTGGCACACGATAGTTGCTTAATAATGCAGCTCACAGCCAGCACAAGCTTTGTCCAGCTCCCCCTGAATCCCCAGTACAGAGGAGAAGGGTGTTCTATCTGACGGTAGGAGTGTTTGAGCCTTATCTGTTCGCTCTTGGAGATGTTTAGAGGAAGCTGAGGGTTAAAGTGACCCGGCCCAGCTGGGCGGGGGGGGGGGGGGGGGGGGAGCTGCGGCACCCCTTTAATCCCAGCACTTGGGAGGCAGAGCCAGGCGGATCTCTGTGAGTTCGAGGCCACCCTGGTCTACAGAGTGAGTTCCAGGAAAGGCGCAAAGCTACACAGAGAAACCCTGTCTCGAAAAACCAAAAAAAAAAAAGTGACCCGGCCCTTCCTCTTGCCTCTGGAGCCCACACCCAGGCTGCTTTCCAGTAAGAAAAGGTTGGCCCCGCCTAGTCAGCCAGTGCCGCAGCCACCACTGCCCTCTCCTGGCAGAGGCAAGACCAACATGTGCCTGGAGCCTCTAGGGAAAAAAAAAGGCGGGGGGGGGGGGGGGGGAGGCGGCGTGGGAACAGCTAGGGATGTGTTTGGAAGAGCTAAATACCAGCCTCAGACCTACACACACTGGGCTCTAATTTCAGACCTCAGTTCTGGGGGTCCCTCAGGACCGAAACCCCTCTCCTCCCTGCCCTGCTCCCTCCCAACACCATCTACTGAGGGGCCACCATGAGCCCAGTCCTTACAGTAGCTGCAGCGTGACTCACCTGGAACTCTCCCCCCACCCCCCACCCCCCACCCCTGCCCTGCACATCTGCTTCCTCGGTGCCAGGTCTAGGGCAACATCACCTCCCCACAGACACTCCCTCCAGGAAACCTAACCCTCTCCCACTCGGCTGTTCCCTTTTCGTCTCTGGGTTGCACGCCCAGCACACAGCACAGCCTCTCTCGTGTTTAGTTGGCATCCAGACAAAATAAGAGACCACGTGAGACTGGATTTGATGCCCAGTCCACAGGAGAGGATTCACATCTGGTATTGCAAATCCAGTCCAAAGCCTGTGACTGAAGAGTCATAGGCCCTCATGGGGAAAACTATGGCTATTGGTTTGCTAAATGGACGTAATGTGCCCAAAATACGGCCTTCTAAAGAACTCTGTGCACGTCGAGGAGTCAGGGAAGCTTCTTTTTGCAGTGGTCAGAGGTGGCCGAATCTATAGCTTCATTCCTGGTCGAGAATAGAGAGCATAAATGACTATAAAACAGGACATCTGTAACACCCCTTCCAAAACTCAGGGGCCACCTCAGGAAAAAGGAGTAGAAGGAATGTAGGACCCTGGGGAAGGTGCCGACCTCGTAGCATGATGTGGTCATGAACTCATCCCAGCTGTGACTTGCACATGACCAGCATAGGATTGGGTCCCTCAAGATCCTGTCATGAAAGCCAGACATGGCAGCATACACCCTTGATCTCAGCAC